TATATATATAATATATATATTAATATACACACATATATACATATACACATCATACATTATACATATACATATATACTATACATATATAAAGCATATCATATATGGTGTTATATATAAATATATATATATATATATATATATATATATATATATAATATATATATATATAATATCATATATGAGTGGTGTGGTGTGTGTGTGTGTGTGTGTGTTAAATGCAATCAGATAAACAAAATTGTAACCTTGAAAGGCATAATAGTGTGTTGTGTGTGTGTGTAGGTGTGTGTGTGTGTGTGTGTGTGTGTGTGTGTGTGTGTGTGCTGTGTGTGTCGCGCCGCGCGCGCGTGTGTATTTGTTTATCTGATTGCATTTAATATTCCCACGTAATATTGTGGACGCAAACTGTAGCCTAAAGCTCATTGGCTGATATACGGACACTATGAGCAATAGCTCAGGCACATCTCTTTCCACCATGTTCCGGAGCAGGGAGATCTAGGGTCCGAATTCCGACTGGTTGGAGGTATTTACGACATAACTAGATAGCTAGGTCGATTTAGACCGTTATCTAAATGAGAATTCTAGGCTGACGGCTGCTCTGGATTTGATATTTTTCTCCGATCAACACCAAGGCAAATGCCGGAGCCAGTAACCCCTCTCAAACGGGCCCACGGATCAGCGGTGCGATCTTTCCTTCTCTTCCTTGATTTTTCACACTTACATGCCCTATACACTACACCTCAACGGTGGTTTCAGTCGGGAGCTTAGAGTTTATTTCGCTGAGTACGGTAGCCACGCAGTGAGAGATACCCCGCAAACAGTTGTAGTCGGAGGCCGGATGTCACTATTCTGCTGGGGAATTCCCGCCATCTTCCGTGATAAAAATATGCATTACATCGAGCGGGGACTAATTACTTCAGCAAGTTGAACGCACCCGGAAACGCAAATTCATGTACAGTTCGTCGTGCAAACTCTATAAGTTGACATCTTTCAAAACCAGTGAATTATTTAATTAACATACTGCAAGCATTACTATGTTAATGTTATGATTTTTTACACATAAATACACCTGACATCTTTAAACTTTTATTCGAACAAATATACTATATATATAATATATTATATATATATATCTATATATATATATATACTATAATCAGGATAGAAATGTGTCTTGAGAACCCGGCAACTGCGTCTTCCCGGCCGACCGCAGCCCCCTGCTGCCATCGATTTTGGAGCGACGCGGCAGTAATGCAACAGGTCGAGTAATGACGCAGATTCAGAGGAGAGAAGGAGCAGGAGGAGGAAGAAGACGATTAGATGAAGAAATGAGTCCGGCATCGTCCACCTACAGAGAATATATTCGCTAAGAGTAGTGTACGTTACATTCCCATGAGGAAGCGGAGTTCCTTCGCCGTTGAACCCTCACCAGTCGGCGTTTCCCCTCCTCGGTATCTCCCACATCACGATACACAGCCCTCCCATATACAGGATATAGAACGGCCATTCTGTCATGTGTGTTGTGTGTGCAAGGAGAATGGTGTGGACAAGATAGAACAAGCAATTGTCGCGGCGCGGTCCATTTGTTAGAAATTGCTCCAGTTTGAATGTTTTGGGTATTCATCCAAGGAAAAGACGTAAACGAATCGGAAGCAGCAAAACAGCTACAATTTTCCTCCAGCCTGGCAGAATTAAACTTAAGGTAATGTAACAGTAACAACAGGACCCTGTTCCAACAAACTGCCAAAAAAAGTTAATATGGTTTTGGAAATTAATGTTTTTAGTAAACAAGATCGTAGAGAAGAAAAAAGTGACACAATGTCGACGCGGGAACAGAATTTTATGTTTCTCGATAATTAGCAGGGATAACTTTTCGAACTAAAAAACGAAGTGTGTAGAAAAATAAAACAATTTAAGAATCATCTGGAAGCAAGACAAAAAAAGAGGGGGGGGGCAAAAATTGTAGAAGAACTTAAAAGAGGAGAAAGATACACGCAAGACGGATTGAATATAGGCACTTGCAATGTAAGTAGCTTTCGAAATCTAAGTTGGAATTTCGGCCAAAGCAGCGTGAACCAGAGGGCAATGAACTTTGGGAACGAGAGCGAAATTAAAGAGACTAAAATTTCAGAACCTCATGAAACGAGCCAAATCACAAAAGAGGCAGAAAATATAAAATGTTCGCAAAAGATTCTCGGGACCAAGAATAAGCGAGGCGTTTCTTTTTATTTTGAAAAAACATATCCAACGACTGTCTGTAAAGGACACAGACGGATGAAGATTCCGAGCCGACGACTTGTGCTAGTAAGTTCTTGTGTTTTTGTGAGAAATGAATTATCAGAGAGAAGGCTGGTATTGGGAGCCCAGAAGTACAGCATTTATCTGTTGCCCATAGAAACGCAATAAGGATGTGTGGAATATGGAACGGTGTGCCCAGCGCCGGAACTTTATGATGTATGGGGATGGAAACGGATTTGCGAGCTAGACGGCAACTATTGCAGACAGGAGAAGTGCAAACTAATTAAATAATTCTGGCAAACCAGATAATTACCCGCCGAGTACGGAGATAAAATTTGTATAAGAAGGCTACAGTATTATAGTAGATTTAGATAAAAGCTTAAACAATGTACATGGCCACAAATTATAATGTGCACGCGTAATGGGGATTGATAAATAGATAATAGTTTGTTATTAAGTGATGAATGTTAAATTTAGTTTTACTTTGTATTGTAATAGGAGATTTTTTTTTTTTTTTGCGTAATTGGATTCCTCCCTCCGGTGTGCATTAATATTTGTGTGTGTGTGTGTGTGTGTGTGTGTGTGTGTGTGTGTATGCGCGCGCGCGCGCGTGTGTATTTGTTATCTGATTGCATTTAATATTCCCACTAATATTGTGACGCAAACTGTAGCCTAAAGCTCATTGGCTGATATCGGACACTATGAGCAATAGCTCAGCCATCTCTTTCCACCATGTTCCGGAGCAGGAGATCTAGGGTTCCGATTCCGACTGTTGGAGGATTTACGACATTAACTAGATAGCTAGGTCGAATTTAGACGTTATCTAAATGAGAATTCTAGCTGACGGCTGCTCTGATTGATATTTCTCCGATCAACACCAGGCAAATGCCGGAGCAGTACCCTCTCAAACGGGCCACGGACAGCGTGCGATCTTTCCTTCTCTTCCTTGATTTTTCACACTTTACAGGCCCTATACACTACACCCTCAACGCGGGTTCAGTCGGAGCTTAGCAGTTTATTTCTGCTGAGGTACGGTAGCCACGCTAGTGAGAGATACCCCGCAAACAGTGTAAGTCGGGGCCGGATGTCACTATTCTGCTGGGGAATTTCCCATCTTCCGTGATAAAAATATGCATACACGAGCGGGACTAATTACTTCGCAGTTGACGCACCCGGAAACGCAAATCAATGTACAGATTCGTCGTGCAAAACTCCTATAATTGGACATCTTTCAAAACCGTGAATTATTTAATTAACATACTGAACATTATATTTAATGTTATGATTTTGTTACACATAAATACACCTGACATCTTTAAACTTTATTGAAAATAATATATATATATATATAATATATTATATATTATATATATATATATATATATTATATATATATCAGGATAGGAAAGGGTGTCTTGAGAAACCCGGCAAACTGCGTCTTCCCGGCGACCGCAGCCCCCCTGCTGCATCGATTTTGGAGGACGCGGCAGTAATGGCAACAGGTCGAGTAAGACGCAGATTCAGAGGAGGAAGAAGGAGAGGAGGAGGAAGAAGACGATTAATGAGAAATGAGTCGGCACGTCAACTACAGAGAATATATCGTAAGTGTAGTGTACGTTACATTCCATGAGGAAGCGGAGTTCCTTCGCCGTTGAAAACCTACCAGTCTGCTTGCACGTTTCCCCCTCCTCGTATCTCCCACATCACGTATCACCCCTCCCATATACAGGACAAGCACGGCCTTCTGTCATGTGTTGTGTGTGCAAGGAGAATGGGTGGACAAGGATGAACAAGCAATTGTCGCGCGCGGTCCATTTGTTAGAGTATTGCTCCAGTGATAGTTTTGTATTCATCCAAGAAAAGACGTAAAACGAATCGGAGCAGCAAACAGCTACAATTTTCCTCCAGCCTGGCAGAATTAACTTAGGTAATGTAACAGTACACAGGACCCCTGTCCAACAAACTGCCAAAAGTAAATATGGTTTTGGAAAATAATGTTTTAGTAAACAAGTCGGTAGAAGAAGAAAAAAGTGACAATGTCGACGCGGAACAGAATTTTATTTTCTCGATAATTAGCAGGGGAACTTTCGAACTAAAAAACGAGTGTTAGAAAAATAAACAATTTTAAGAATCATCTGGAAGCAAGACAAAAAAAAGGGGGGGGGCAAAAAATTTAGAAGAACTTAAAAAGAGGAGAAAAGATACACGGCAAGACGATTGAATATAGGCAACTGATGTAAGTAGCTTTCGAAATAAGTTGGAATTTCGGCAAAGCAGGTGAACCCGAGGGCAATGAACTTTGGGGAACGAGGCGAATTAAGAGACTAAATTTTCAGAACCTCAGAAACTTGCCAAATCACAAAAGAGGCCAAGAAAATATAAAATGTTCCAAAAGATCTCGGTGACAAAGAAAAGCGAGCGTTTTTTTTTTAATTGTTGAAAAACAATCCAAAGACTGTCTGTAAAGGACACAGACGGATGATAGATTCCGAGCCGACGACTTGTGCTAGTAAGTTCTTGTGTTTTTGGGAGAATGAATTATCAGAGAGAAGGTGTATTGGGAGCCAGAAGTACAGCATTTATATGTTGCATAGAAACGCATAGGATGTGTGGAAATATGGAACGGTGTGCCCAGCTGACGGAACTTTATGATGTAATGGTGGATGGAACGGATTTGCGAGCTGACGGCAACTATTGCAGACAGGGAAGTGCAAATATTAATATTCTGCAAATATTACCCGCGAGTACGGAATAAATGTATAAGAAGGCCAAGTATTATAGTAGATCTAGTAAAGCTTAAACAATGTACATGGCCATCAAAATTATAATGTGCACGGTATGAATGATAATAGAAATATTTTGTTATTAAGTGTGAATGTTAAATTTAGTTACTTTTGTTATTGTATAGGAGGATTTTTTTTGTTTTGCGTAATGATTTTATCGGTAGTGTCACAGAGGAAAGTAGCGACGGCGAAGATTAACGCCCTCGAATAAACAACAGTACCACAGAACACTGTACTGAATTTACAGTTGAAGTGTCGTAAGTCATGACACGTCTTAAGTCTCCTTTTGGATTTTAGATTAAGAAAGATAACCCCCCTCCATTACCAATAAGATATCGAGATATATTTTTTCCCATCATGTACAGGAGAGAACTTCAGTCCCACGACCCAATATAATTTCCCATTGGCAACGCTGCTCGTGCAGAAAAGATTTTAAGATTCGTTAAGCAGAGTTTGGGTCTCAGGTAAATACATAATAGATGTAAGGAAATAATTATAATACAGATAGAGGCACGACGGGACGGTCACAGTAACTAGTGTCGAAAATCCCCCACCGTCAGTAATCGAACCCTAGGACCTCTCTGTCAACGGTGTTGCAAAGGCAACGACGTTGTCTCTAAGCTATTACAGTCGATAAAGAGAAATCGGAGGAAGAACTTGAGGAGTGAAAATAGTAAGATAAGGAAACCAAGGAGAGCAAAGATGTGGGGACAGGAGAGGAAGGGGTAGGAAAGGAGAGCTGAGGGAAAGTAGCAGGGTTACAGACAAGAAAAGTGAAATGAAAAAAGTAGGATAGTAAGAGGCAAAAAGAAATGGAGGAAAGGCAAGGAGGAGAAAGGAAAGGGGGAGGCATAGAAGAAGAAAACACGAGTTTTTCGCCGAAAAATCTCCGATTCCCCGCGCAGCATTACATTCCTTTCTCTTTATTCCGTAGCGAGAAAGTAAAAGGGAAAGGAAGGACAGGGGGCGAGAGAAGGCTATCCGAAGAGGCGAATGAAGATATACTGAAGCTTGTCTTCGCAATATTGCAAAATCATTTAGTCGTCATCATAACACAAGTTTTTTATATATTTAACGTCAAAAACAGTTGAAAACTGTGTGATAAACAACGGAGAGAAATATTCGGTGCACATTTGTTTGACTTCTGGGATCCTTTATTCTAACCCATATACAAGTTAAATTCTGAATACGGACGGAAATGAGAACAAAATTTTTGGGCAAGAACTGATAATAAAATATACACTGCCGTGCCATAAAAAATGCAAAGAGATATTATATAATACAGAGAAGCTGTTCAGTTGTAACAGTTTCTTCGCTCTCCGTTTCCACGCTCCTCTCTCCAGCCTTAGCGACCTCAGCGATTCAAGCAGACCATTTCGTACTTTAGCCCGATGGAACTGACTTGAGCCCTGTGACGGGTTCGGGTGGGGGAGTATGTTACAGTCGAAAAGTAGCCTTGTGCGATTCACAAGGATATGCTGGTTGGTAGTTGCTATGGATAGAGAGAGACAAGGTGTTTAGCTTGGAGTTCCACTGAGTTAGTTGTTTTCTTTTGAAACGTTATCGCCTAACCTCACTATGCACATCAGCTGACGTGCTCATTGCTATCATGTCCGAATGGCTGTCAGGGCTTCGAACAACATCGAGTCTGTGCAATGCATAATATTCAACGAATTATTATGACACACTTCGCGAACTCAAAGACGGCTACGACTCGGACAATCACCTATCTTTAGCCAGTACCAAATGGACAAATGCCAACATTAACCGGATGAAGTTCGAAATGCTGCTTTCATCGCCGTCCATAAAGGTTTATCCAGACTGTCTGGCTAATTTTCATTTGAACTTCGCACTCCTAATATTAGTCATATTTCGGACTTGAGCCATAACATAAATACATCTTTTTTCCGTTTCAATCAAAATGTTTCCCTTCAACATGAACACTGTCAAAAATACACTTCGCGCCCAAGATTGTTTAGTCTATTTAGGATCCTTCATTTATATTGGCTGAATTGAGTTTCAAAGGTTAACGACGCCACCCAACGTCCCCGTGTAGCAATGCTTTCCTCCATTGTATTTGTAGTTTTCACTCTCCTTTTCCCCCCTCCATTAGCGACCACTATTTTCCGCTTGAAACAGTATGGTAACTGTGAGGATGACACGATATGATATGGGGTGAAAGGATGAACACAATACAACCATTCCCTAGGCGGGACTCGAACCCGCGACCCTTCGGTCCGAGATCGCTACGACAACTCTCCTTTTGGAAAAGTTTATTTTCGGCTAAATTATGTTTGAAGGACAATGTTTGGCTCGCTTGCACTCTACAGACACCGACCGATATTGGTAGGTCGAGTTCACGATCATTTTATATTGTTATTGCAATTCACTCCGCAACATTTAAAACTACCAACTTCCTTGCAGGATTTCTTCCGTCTACAAATAGTATCATGGTGATAAGTTACTTACATTCTTGTTTGAAGGTAAAATATTCTGTGAGATGCCTGCATTCATGGTTGCCTCGTAGTAAGAAAAGTGTGGTGGGATAACACTGTTTCAACGCCCAGAGGTACAGCACGCACTGAAAGAAGAAGAATTTCCATTACACAGAACAAAAATTGTCCCGAAATATATTCGTAGTTACAATAAGGAAAAGAGATAAAAGTAAAAGAATTAGTTCTGTAGATTTTTCATTACTCAATTGAATAATCAAAAATAAAAATGTTAAGGTGGACCTGAAGGGAAATAAACATATTGTGGACTTAAAGAATGATTTTATATATATATATATATATATATATATATATGCTACGGCATCCCGCAATTTCGCGCAACCCTGCCCCACACGAGCCTACCCAGTGACAAACAGTATACAACACCGAGGCGTAGCATCGCTGTGTCACTTACCCTGAGGAAGTCTGCAACATGACTGGTTGAAATGTCCGAACAGCCAAGAATTTTTAATAACAGATACCTACATGAAGTTATTTTTATGATTTTAAAATATAACTGTTAAAAAGTTTTCATAAATACTTCTTCATTACGAAGAGTTTAGCACAATCGTTTTATAATGTGAAGTAATTTAGTTTCAAAATTTCGTAATGTTGGAATTGAGAAGTGTATTCCGTACATAGTCGTTCTGACTTTTTTTTTACGTCGCTTCCCTTTTTAACACACAAAATCACGCTTTAACCCAGCACGAAAGAAACAGATCCGAACCACTACGAACTGAAATTCCCCCGCGCGAGAATAGATGCGCATAATCCAGCGGTTGAAGGGTCGTGCTTTACGCCAATAAGGCCCACAATTTTAGATTTCTCTATCAGCAGCTGCAATGGGCGCAAAGTTTTCCATTTTTTTGAAATTATCTTAATTTTTTTGTTTTCTAATAGTAGAACGGAAATATTATTTTAAGAAAATGAAAGAACAGTAAAACCAGCTCCTAAATGGCATTTTTCCTTGAAAAAATTGAAACTGTTTTAAAGAAAACTGCGCTTAAAAGCTTAGCATTTATGCCCAATAATTTACCTTGTTTATAATCTATATTATCTTTGTGCTTACACACACATGTATATATTAGTGATACGCCTCCGTAGGTACAAGCGGAGTAATATACTTAGTATAGAGAAAGTTATGTAATGCTGCGGAAAATCGATTTCGAAATTTCAATGCAAATTTTTTGGTGGAAATTTTAACAAAAAAATGTTGGGGTCCCCTGATAGCGAACAAGGGTATTTTTTTCAAAACGTCCGTTCGTTTGTCTAACCTTCCGTCCGTCCATCTAAACAAAATCAGCGCTTTAACTATTCGTACGAGTTTTTCCAAAACGAAAATTCGCCAATCGATCCGGCCCGATTCGAATCTCTGCGACTTCGAAAAACATTCAATTTTTTTTTGTGGGGGGGGGGGCGGTAGGTACTTTACATGAATCTCCTGCGACATTTTGAAAATTTTCTTTAAAAAAAACTACTTTTTCTTTAAATTTCCTGCAAGAATAGAATGAAATATGTACGAAAGACTCTTTATCATTCTGTAACACCTCTAGTTTACTTCAATAGTCCATTCCATTTCTTGGACATGTTTAAGCGCATCGTCGTTGTCCAAGATGGGACTGTTAGTGTACCACAGAGCAATAGAACCGTCATATATTGTAGATCAGACGCATGATTTTCTCACTATTATTTAATATTGAAATACACAGAATTTTCTATAAAGGTATATTATCCCTTTTCTTGTGTTCACCGCTTGGTAGTGGCCATGTCGAGGCGACAACCACAAAACATCGCAGACGCTCGCAGTCACTTCCAGTACGTTTTGAATGCTGCAGGTCAGTGCGAGTAATTTGGAGGGTGGCTGCTCTCCGCGAGCAGCAAGCGCACTATCCCTTGCATACTCTCAGAACTGTGTTCGTTGGCGAGAACTGCTCTCGAAACGAACTGGCGAGATCTTAGCTCACAGGTGGACACACACCTTTCAAACTTTATGTAAAGTGCCTGCAAATTTCAAAATATTCGTTTCAAATTCGCAGGGCTTTGAGTTTGGCCAGATCGATGGGGGAAATTCAATTTAGGAGAAAATTGTCTGTACGGTCTAGGCTCAAGCGTGGCCTGCAGACAAAGGCGTTTTGCCGTCAGCCAATGTTTCGTTACCAAGGGTCCATGAAACTTGGATTCCGAGTGCACGTGTTACAGGAGGCAATTTACTACATATAAGAACAAGATGCATCCACTTTATCGATACGAGATTTTTTTCTGTTAAATCGCCGTTTTTGCAACAGCATTACAATACTTTCTCTATACCACACAGGTAGTATGCGGAAAAATAAAAATATAAAAGACAAAAACAAAATAGAATTCTATGCATGAAATAAAACAGAACTACATGGAATACAACACTTGTAGATAAAAGAACGAAAATACAAGCTCTTTTCGGCTTTGTCCTCGTTTTCAAGCTCGGCTTTTTCATTCCAACAAACTTTCACGGCAATATTCATAATTCAGTAAAACACACATAATCACTTTTACACACAAGAATTCAGTGCTGCGTACAATATTGACACACCAAATTTTAGGCATCAATGTCGATTTCCATGGGTCATGTAAAGAACGCATAAACGTACCTCTATACTGAAGTATCCTCGATCCACGTAGTCGCCAAGGAAGAGGTACTTTGTAGTGGCAGGTGAGCCTCCGACCTCAAACAGCTTCATGAGGTCGTAGAACTGGCCGTGGATGTCTCCACACACTGAAACCAGTTCAATTTAAGTAACTTGAAAGAGAAAAAAATACACAGGAAATGATTGATTATTTCGTATTTCCGAGCTCGTCATATGGTATAAGTCCCGTGAGTGTAGTGCACGTTTTTGTCACGGGAGAGGGTGGTGTTCTTCCTCAGCTGGATAGTGATATTTGGTGCCGAGTTTCTCGTCGACTTGCGGAGTTTTCTCCATCCAGATATCGCCCACCAACAAGGCACCGTCTCAACCGTACAAGCTCTAAGCTACCAACATATGTGATTGTGTATGTATGTGTGTTTGGTTGTGTATTTAAGGGGTGAGGATAGGACTAGGAAGAGGAAGGAAAGCTCGCGCGCGGTCTGTGGCCCGTTTGTTTGGGTACAACTCCGGCGTTCACTTTGTGTTGATCGTAGAAACCAAAGAAAACTACCGATCAGAGCAGCCGGCAGCTAGAGGTCTCCTTTAGACAGCGGCCGAACTCGGCTTAGCTTGGTAGTTAGTGTCAAAAATCCTGCCACTGGTGGCAGTCGAACCTTGTCCTCTCAGTCAAAGGCACCGCGACATTAGCTAACTCAGCCGGTGCAAATTCACACTTTTGAAACAAAACGTTCTCTCTAAACTTCTTCGGTTAAAATAATATCTTGAAATGCGAGGGAACTACTGTTTCACGCTTATTAGAGTCAAATCGGCTACCGTTTCACTTGAAGCAAGTGATATAAAATACTCTTTCCGTTCGAGTGAAAAAAAATCGCACGTAGCTGATGAGCAGGGCTCGGATTCTGATGACCTATAAAATTCTTTGAAAATGACCTATAAGACGTCTTAAAAATATGAGGAAATGACAATTTCTAAAAAAGTACTAAAATGTGTATGAAAATGTTTACTTATTCATAGAATATTACAATTTTAAATAAAATGAATTTGTATAAAATTATAATTAATATGAAGTCTTTATTTTACCAGGAATCCTTAGCTCCGTCAGTTTTGAAAGGTGGTGGAAGCTACCAAAGATACCTGCAATTCTGAAATTTCGAAAAACAGAGTCCACAGCAGTAATGAATTGTAAGTTGTGAATATTAACGTGTAAATTGTATGAGGAAAATGAGTTGTAAATATTAACGACGTCGGAGACAAGTGAAATAAATTACATTTTTGTAATATAAAAAATAGAGCAATATGGGGTTTATGTCATCTTATAGAGAGCATTTGGCACTTTCTTGACCACAAGTATAAGCACGTTGTTTGTGGAATTTTTAAAAATTGCGCATACTGATCGCAAAATTGCGCGAAAACGCCCGAAAATTTTTGAAATTTCATAGTTAAACCTGAAAATCGGACCTATGCTACCTTTATAACTGCATTTTACTCGATTCTTAGAAGAAATTTAAAGAAAACATTTGGAGCAGTGAAAATTTGGAAAATGTCCGCGGAGCTTCATGTAAAGTACTCCCAAATTTTAAAGATATTTTAAAATCTCAAAGATTCGACTCAAACGAGATGGACAGGACTTTCTTTTTTGGAATAAATAAATTTTTTTTTTTAATTAAAAAGAAATCCTCCGTATGGGTTAGGCGCTAGTGGTGTTCACAGACGGACGTTCTGAACAAAAAAACTATTTTCGGGTATCAGGCGACACCAAAACGTGTTTTCCGTTTGAAGATCTCGAAATCGATTTTCCGCAGCATTACACAAACTTTCCCTACTACGTATAATAATCTGTATATACGTACGTATATGGGGAAGTAAAAGGAATTTTGCCAACTTGCTGGCTTTAGTAATACCTTTGTGGTGCGCGCCTTGCGTGTTTTTTACTCCATTATGTTAATGAATTTTAATGTAACAATATTCTTTTATGTACATTGTAATACTTCTTAGAAATCTACTATCGGGTGTTTAACCCTCAGTAGATCAAATATATCTATCTCCGCATTATCTTCAGTACACTATTCCACATCCCTCTCACGCGGCAGTAACATCTAATACATCTGAAATCGCACTTCTGACTTCCAAGTTTTTTATTTCTCAGTTTATCTTCACGTGCCCTTCTCAATCAGTTCGCAGCCCAGCGGGAGGCGCATGAGTTCGCTTGCCCATTCGCACGGTGGCTCGGCCGCGCACGAGGTAGACCGCTCCTTATTGTGGTAGCGTTGTGGACTGCTGCCGAGTTCGCGGCGCGCCGGAGCGGCTGCCACGGATTTGAGGCGCTTTTCCATCCGCGCGTGCATGCATGTGCGCTCGCTCGCTGGCTGCCACAATGAGCGCGCGCAGATGGAAACTGTGTTGTGCATTACGTCTCGTGTTGTGGTACAATGACATGAGAAAGAACAGGTGCAGCGCTGGTAGCGAGTCCTCTCCCGTCCTGGTATCGGATTCTGCTACCTGCGCACGTTGTACGTTTTACTTTCTCGTATTCAGTGGAAGTTCTGTAATACTGCACGAAACAATGCCGACATTTCGATGAAAATACTCATTCCAGGGATCCCTGCTGCAGAAATCTATTTATTTAATAAAATATATGTCGACTATTTACTCGCTTCCTGTCGGCAAATGATTTCGAAATTTTAGCGAATGTGCGCAAGCTCAGTTTGGTTTCTGATTCCTTAGCAGCTACATTGCGCATGCGCGCGTTTCTTTAAAAACTCCGAAATCCTTCGTCGAACGCAAGCGTGTGCATCTGGCCTAAAGATTTTCGCATAGAAAAAAGTTTCAGCTTTCTAGTGAACCAAATTTCGTACATTTGTCGTTAAATAAAAGCAGTGAGCCCTACATGTGTTATCACTTGCTTTTAATCATTTTTGTAGTAAAATAACTAAATTTTAATATCTTAAAATTAATCAAATGAACGCGTATTTGCCGTCCCTCCTTTATTACGTCGTTTTGCTGAGAGAGCTGCAATCTATATACCGAAAGCAGTTGGAAGTTAGCAGTCCAGCGAGAATCTGCGTGTGAGTGTTAGGTTTAATTAGTAGTAAATATAGTGAGGTTTTTAAATGCAAACATGTTATATAGTATGCAGCTAAACGAATGTCCAGCAATTGTTTGAAACAAGTGTCCTTTTACTAACATATTTTGATTTTTGGGATTTCTTAATTAATTATATTGTTCCAAATTATCTTTCAATAATGAGTAACTTTTAAAAAAATGTGTGATTAGTTTTCGCGTAATTTTGAGACACTTTTACAAATTATGCAAGAAAGTACTGTACTTGCTGTCTCACCACAGCTGTAAGCTTACAAAATAAATAATGGAACAGTTGTTTTTTTTATGTTTTTTTTTCGTTTTTTCTTCTTTTTTTCTTTCGAAAAGGTACAATGAAGCCCGAAATTATTTCTAATACATCGTACCACCATGATACTTTACGTGTTGGACAAAATATTATTCGGTTAGGAAATTTTGTTTTCTTTAGAAATTATAGGAGGATAAAAATCTCGCCACATCAGCAGTTTCCACGGTGATTCATGATTCACGAAATCTATCTTCCCCACCCCAATTTCCTTGAAAATTGAAGTTCACGCTAATACCATTTTCAACACACTGGTTTTGATTAGTGATTCCAGGCAATTTCTAACGTCTATATTCCGTAAGGGCAGTGTATGTATTTATAGCGGGTGGCGGTGGTGATGTTCTTCGATGACTGGCGAGATCCGGCGCCGACCTACGTCGAGTTGCGGGGATTTTCACCGAAGGTAGCTCCCGCCAGCATGCCATAGCCCCAGTGGGGTCAAGCTCTAAGCCCACGACTAGTCCCTCGACACGAGCGGTAGTGTAGTACATGTGAGTGTCCGTGTAAGAAAGGGGTGAGGATATGACACGGAAGGAGGGAAGCGCGAAAGATCGCGAGCAGACCTTGTCTGTGTTACGGTAGTATTGATTGAAGAAAATTCGGAAAACTACTAAGCAAAGCAGCCAGCCGCAACAAGTCTCCTCCAGAGAGCGCGACCTATCAATGCACGGGTTTCAGTGGCGGTTCAAAAAAAAAAAAAAAAAAAAAAAAAAAAAAAAAAAAAAAAAAAAAAAAAAAAAAAAAAAAAAAGAAGAAGAAGAAAGAAAGTTCTTTAAAGAGGTGTTTGCTGGATATGAGTGGTTTCTGCAGAGGTTTTATTACAAAATGAGGTTACAAAATTGGTGTCATGTAATTGCGGTAAAACGTACACGATGAAATTATTTAAACTAGTGGGGGCTAAAACGGCACCTATTTTCTCACCCTTAGTAATAGTTATGTAATACTCTACACACATACACACATTCTCTCCGAATTAACACATCACCTAAAAATCGTTAGAAATCATAGAACATTTTGGTACGAAAAAAAATTTCAAGCAAAGATCACAAATTTGACAAACTGTTTTTCATACAGCTAAATCATATCCCAACAATGAGTCCGAAACACAGAAATTCAGCTGCAGGCTCGCGGTGGGGAATGCGATTGTTGCATTCCAATTTGATATTCTCTGAAGGCTAGGAATTTTTCTTTAATTTATTTTAAATAGGTTTTAAATTATCTAAAACAAAGTGTAAATGTATAACAAAAGCTCAATTGAAAGAAACGAACAAAGAAATATAAAATAACATACAAATTCTAACTTACGTTGCATCCAACGGCCTGGCATCACCTCTATTACATTCACGAAGCACGAGAAATTCCGAGCGAGCGATCATTTTTGACCCCAAATGACAAACATTATTCAGATTTTCGAAAAATTCAAAATGACCCTATTTAAACGCATTTCATTTCGAAAGAAATGTATGAAGACGCCGAAACATTTTTTTTTTCGAAAAATCAGGCATTTAACGAACATGAGACTTGCGCCATTCTCTTCAGCATCCTTTATGCTACGGCCCCAGTTTAATAAAAAATAAGTGAGCTTTTAAGAAAATAAAAATTGGCCTTGTTCGACACAAAATTTCTCAAAAAATACTACGAAAAACCATCCTGAGACTTGCACCATTTTTTAAATGATTTTAGACTATCCAACAACAAACTTTCATTAAAAACAATGAAGCCGAT